GCCCCGGCCCAGTTCAAGGAACCCGTCTGGTTCTCCATTCGTATGCAGACTTGTGCCCTTCACTCAGTGAGCCCCACTGTCCTGAGTGAGCGCCTTTCCCCGGATGCCTACCCACCCCCTTCCCAGAGCATCTCAGCAGCTGGGCTTCCCTGGCCCCGAACCACACATCCCAACCTTTGTGCCCTGTTTCTTTCCACTTTTCCAGGCCCTGGGTCTGGCGCTTGAGGTCTATGCTGACTTCCCAAAGCCTGGTCTCTGGGTGAGCTGAAGAGGGAGGAGATTTTGGGGGTGAGGGGTAAGAGGCCCCTTTATTGGGCACATAGAAGCCCAAGGTCAGCTGGGCCAAACTCCGGAAAGCCTCCTCTTTCTGTGTGCCTCAAGGAGAGCCATGTTTCTTTGCCTCTCCCCATCTCTCCCACCTACCTTCTGCAGAGGGCCCCCCAGCCCTCAGCAGGTGGACCCCAGGAATGGCTGGGCCCAGCTCAGGACCTCCCCGCTGAGCCTCCTGCAGGTGTTCCCATGAGAAAAGCCCAAAGCAGTTTTAGAGTTCACAGACACAGACACACTTGCAGACCTCATGGTCCCCAAAGCACATTATGTACAGACTTTGACCCTCTCTAAAGACCTGACCTGGCCCAGCACCTGCTCCTGGGGCTTTCTCCCTATGGGCAGGCACTACCGGTCTGGTCCACTGGAACCACTCCTTACGATCCCACCCCAACCCGTGGAGCACCAGGCCCTGGGTCTGCTCAGTCCACGAGTCTCTGGCTCAGTTCTGTCTCAGCCAGTTTTCCCCAGAGATCAGTCACGTAAGGTCCCACCTCCAGGGCTACGTGGGGACGAGGGACAGAAGACCAAGATGGATGATATCCCTGCAGGCTGAGAAGGCTCCGAGGGGGGTGAGGTGGGCAGGGGGGGCATCCACTGCAGATCCACAGTGGGTGGGGGCGGGGCATGACTTCTGGCAGGGGGACTCCCCCCCACACACACCACCCCAGTGGGGACCTGGGCAGAAAACGGAAATAATTTATTTAGTTATTTAAAGAGTGGTTCTCCTACGCATTATGAAGTAGAGGGGCGCCTGGCTGGCTCAGTGGGAAGCACCTGCGACTCTTGATCTCGGGGTCGTGAGTTTGAGCCCCATGTTGGGTATAGAGATTACTTAAATAAATGAAACTTAAAATAAAAGATTGTGAAGTAGAATGAAGTAGGATGCAAACTTCCACATGAATTTTCTTTCTCTCTTTTTTAAAAAAGATTTTATTTATTTATTTGACAGAGCAAGAGAGCACAAGCAGGGGGAACAGTAGAGGGAGAAGCAGGCTCCCCGCTGAGCAAGGAGCCCGATGCGGGGCTCGATCCCAGGACCCTGAGATCATGACCTGAGCCGAAGCAGACGCTTAACCATCTGAGCCACCCAGGCGCCCCTCCATATGAATTTTCAATGTACAATAAGATGTTTCAAAGAAATTTCTCACATCAAGAAAAGGTGTCTAACCCCAGACTCTCCTGCCCCCTCCAACTGGTGTGAGTCCCCATTGTCTGTTTAGCGCCGAATATTACTGAATACTAGTGAATGCTACATCAGTGGAAATTTTTGAGAAGCATCAGTCTCTGGGGAAACATCTAAATTCCTTAGCCTGGCCTTCAAGACCTCTGCCCTACGCAATCCTCCTCTACGCTCTCTCATCTCCACAGAGCTGCTATTTGCAGCTCCCCAAACAATAAAGCATATGCCAAGCTGGTTCGTGCCTTTGTGATTTTCCACAAGCTTCTCCCTTTGCCTGGAATGCCCCTGCCCACGCAACCATCTGGCAAACTCCTACTCATCCTTCAAGACCCCGCGTAAAGGGCTCCTCTCCTGTGAAGCCTTCCCAGCAGTCCTGAGAGCAGAATGAGTCAGCTCCTCCCATGTAGCACCCTGTGGTGTCTGTGTCCCTCTCCTTGTCTTGGGCTCTCTGCATTTCACCTTTTCCCTAATTTGAACATGGGGGGCTCAGAGGGGAGAGACTGGATCATTCATAGTTGTATCCCCAGCACTAAGCATATAATCTGGCATGGTTAGGTGTCTATAAATATTTTGTATGAAGGAGCGAGTGAACAAAACTTAATGTGACTCCTTTTTTGTTTTTAGAGTCGAGATGGGGAGAAAGCATTTTCTCACAAACTTTGGAAAATGCTAAGAAAACCACTCACGGTAAAGAAAAAAAAAATTCACGTCACCTCTTTTTGTCGCCACTCCCATCTCCTAAGCCGTGTAGTTCTGCCGAGAACTCACCAGACCCAGGTGGTTCTTTGCCATCGAGGCAGTAATGGAAGTGGCCAGGTGGGGAGAGGGCGGTGGCACTGGAGGGTCCAGCCAGGGTCCTCCAACAATTGCAGCAAAGGGCCGAGGCACTGTGCTCGGTGCCGTACTCACATGCGTATGTGACACACACAATGACTCACTGCATCCCCATACCAACCCTACCAGGTGGCTACTATTATGAGCCCCATTGTAGAGATGAGGAAGCTGAGGCGCGTAACTTGCTTACAGCCCTACGGCGGATAAGTGGCAGAGCTGGGAGTCAAACCCAGAGAGTCCAGCTTGGGCATCCATTCTCCTAGCCTCAATGCTGTGTTAGCTCCATGAGCAAAAGATGCATAGTGATGGTTGTTTTGGCTAAGAATATACGGAACATGATGTAGAAGAGGACCGGGCCCTTTGATGACCAATCACCCTGGTCCCAGAGCCTGGGACAGAAGACTCTGGGTTCCTAAGTATCCTGTAAAGGTGCTCAGCATTGCTTTGTCCAATTCCCAGACCCAAGGGGCCCAGTCTCCTCTTTGGCTGCATGAGGCATGTTAACTCCATGGTGGAGAGGGTGTGATTTGTTTCAGGTTGGGGAGGGGGGCAGGGCTCTGCTTGCCTCAGAGTCCTCAGCAGCCAATTCCCAAAGTAGGCTTCCTGTTCCACCCCCAGTGGCTGAGGATCTGCCAGGCTTCATCTGCCAGGTGTCTCCCACAGCAGCAGCCCAGGCCGGGGAAACCAGTGAGACCACTTTACTAGGGCATCCGTGGCAGGACCGTCCACCTTCAAGGACGCCTGTTCCCCATCCAGGACATTTCAAGGAGAGGGGATGGCAGATGCACAAATTCAGGAGTGAGAAAAGCTAGGCATGTCCTTGGAGCAGGTGAGGCGATTTGGCTGACGCCCACGGAAGGGCGCCGGACGGAGGGGAGGGTGATGGAATGGGGAGGGAGGGTTCCTTCGGTGGTGAAAAGCCTAATATCCAAAGTAGAGAAATGGGGTTGTTTTCCTCCAATGTGCAGATATTTTCTCAACAACTAGGAAACACTGCCACCGTGTGGCTCTGGGTTGATACCGGCTCCAAGCTGTACAGGGCCAAATTTTCTGATACTGTGTAATCGTTAAGCCAAAGAACACATCTCTTGATTCGAATAGGTCAAGTGAAGCAACCTAACCCTAATGTGGAAAGGATCCTTTTAAATCAAATTTTCCAAGAAATCAGTGCCTGGGTTCAATTCTCGGATTTCTTATCTTGTTTTAAAACTCCGGGTCTAAATCTTCAGCGATTCTGATCCCAGGGATCCTTCCAGGCCAGTGAGGATCAAACTGTACCCTGGCCAGTCCCCCCACTGGAGCATAGCCTATTTCAGTCCTAGGTCTGTTCTCCCTGTACCTTCTGCAGCTGGACAGATCCAAATTCAAACATTTCCACCATCTTTAAGGTGGGTGCTTTGGGGACAAAGCACCTAACCTCTCTACTCTGCAGTGACTTCATCTGTAAAATGGGCATGACACCTTCCTCGGCGGTTTCTTGTGGGCAGGTGGCGTGGGTCGAGTGCCTGGCACATCACAGCTCCTCATAATGAGGGAGTCCTCTTCCTCCCGCTCCGCCCTTGAGGGCCGGCTATCGTTGAGCAAGGAACAAGCATTCAATGGAGGTCAGTGACTTGATAGACGAGAATTGCCTGGTCCCCCAGCAAAGTTCCCAGAGAACAAAAGTACTCATCGCGGCAGGCCTTGGGGGATCACTCCTATTTCCAAGTGTTGCCTACGGGCCCTGCGTTTGCTGGGGATCGCAATCCACGCGTCTCCTCCGCGAGGGGCGGGCGGCAGGTGCGTGGGCCTGAGCCGGGCGGGGCCGCCTTCATTCTCCCCGCTCCCTCCGCGGGGGGTGGGGTGTGTGTGTGGATAATTCAATCCCCGTGGGACTCAGCGTCTGGCCTCACCCGCCGCTCGGCCGATTGGCTGACGGTGTCAGCTCCCCCCGCCCTCCGCACCTCCGCGTCCCAGGTGGCTCAGGCCCCCGGTGGTGATCTCTGTTTACCTAGAGAGCCGGTCCAGGTGGGGCTCCAACTCGGCGCTCGCTCCCCTCTGGGGCCCCGCCCGCGCAGGAAGCGGGGAGAACACCTGGCCGAGCTGCTCCTCGCCCTTCCCCTCCCCCCACCGCCCAGAGAGGTCGGGTAAGGGGGAAGGGGTGCGTGTGGGAGGGGGAGTCCCAGGCCCGGGGGATCCGCTGTCACCCGGTCCCGGGAGCTCGCGCGGGCCCTGGGGATGTATCCCCAGGCCTAGCTCCCACTCCCTCCGCCCCGCGCTGCCGTGCTCCGGGTGACGTGCCCACCCTGGGCCAGCAGCCAGAACCTGGATCTCAGGGATGCCCAGGATCCTCGAGGAGGCACGGACGTGGTGTGTTCCCCCCTTCCCCAGACGGCGATGACCCCCAAGCCTCCCGGACCGGACGGGGGCTGGGGCTGGGTGGTGGCGGCCGCAGCCTTCGCGGTGAATGGGCTCTCCTACGGGCTGTTACGCTCCCTGGGCCTTGCCCTGCCTGACCTCGCGGAGCACTTTGACCGGAGCACTCAGGACACTGCGTGGGTCAGCGCCCTGGCCCTGGCGGTGCAGCAGGCAGCCAGTGAGGGGGGGCCCCAAGGTGGGAGGCGGGAACCGGGGTGGATTGGCGGAGTGTGTGTGTAGTGATGGAGGACCCACCTGATGACCAGACAACCGGGAAAAGAGCGCCCGGTGGGACCGAGTCCTAGAAAAGAGAGGGTCTTGAGGTCAAGGGGAGGAGCTATTAGGCTGGGGGAGAAGTTTTAGGCCTGGCAAGCCGCCAAGGAGAAGTGTTGGATCAAGTTTGGGGGTGCAGAGGCGTGTCTTCCGTTGACTCCGCCCCCTTCCAGGCCCAGTGGGCAGCGCCCTGAGCACCCGCTGGGGGGCGCGCCCGGTGGTGATGGTTGGGGGCGTCCTCACCTCGCTGGGCTTCGTCTTCTCGGCATTCGCCCGCAGTCTGCTGCACCTCTACCTTGGCCTGGGCGTCCTTGCTGGTGAGGGGAGAGGGGTACCCGGGTCCTTAAGGGGTGATGTTGGCGAGGGGCGCTTCTTGGGGGCTGGAGGCCCAAGGGGCGGGGCCTCCTGCGAGGAGCTGGGCTGGGATCGCTGGGGCGGGCACCCCAGGTCCCTGTCCTCACCCGGTCCTGTCCGTCCGCAGGCTCTGGCTGGGCCCTGGTGTTCGCCCCGGCCCTCGGGACCCTGTCCCGTTACTTCTCCCGCCGTCGAGTCTTGGCCGTGGGGCTGGCCCTCACGGGCAACGGGGCCTCCTCGCTGCTCCTGGCGCCCACCCTGCAGCTCCTCCTTGATACTTTCGGCTGGCGGGGCGCCCTGCTCCTCCTCGGCGCCGTCACCCTCCACCTCGCCCCCTGTGGCGCCCTGCTGCGACCCCTGGAGCTCCCTGGCGACCCCCCGGCCCCACCCCGCGGGCCCTTAGCTGCCCTCGGCCTGGATCTCTTCGCGCGCCGGGCCTTCTTAGTTTTTGCTCTGGGCACAGCCCTGGTGGGGGGCGGGTACTTCGTGCCCTACGTGCACTTGGCCCCTCACGCTTTAGACGGGGGCCTGGGCGGCTATGGGGCCGCGCTGGTCGTGACGGCGGCTGCGCTGGGGGACGCGGGCGCGCGGCTGCTCAGCGGCTGGCTGGCTGACCGGGGCTGGGTGCCCCTCTCGCGGCTGCTGGCGGTGTTCGGGGCTCTGACCGGCCTGGGGCTGCTGGCCGTGGGACTGGTGCCCTTGGTGCGGAGCCGGGAGGGCTGCGGGGGGCCCCTGCTGGCGGCGGCTGGGGTCTACGGGCTCAGCGCCGGAAGTTACGCGCCCTTGGTTTTCGGTGTGCTCCCGGGGCTGGTGGGCGTCGGAGGTGTCGTCCAGGCCACGGGGCTGGTGATGATGCTGATGAGCCTTGGGGGGCTTCTGGGCCCTCCGCTCTCAGGTAAGGGCCTGAGCGAACACATCCGCACGCAACCATCCTCTACCCCTGGATCCCAGGCCCCTGAATGCCTTTCCCCTTCCTCACAGGCTTCCTAAGGGAGGAGACGGGAGATTTCACGGCCTCCTTCCTCACCTGCGGCTCTTTCATCCTCTCTGGCAGCTTCATCTACATGGGGCTGCCAGGGGCGCTGCCCTCCTGCCGTCCGGCCTCCCGGCCGGCCACCCCTCCCCCCGAGAGGGGGGAGCTGCTCCCCGCTCCTCAAGTTGCCCTGCTTTCCCCTGGAGGCCCTCAATCCACTCTGGACACTGCTTGTTGACCATTAGTTTGAGCCACTCCCCCAGTAAAGAATTTCTATCCAGTTTCCTGCAAGCTCCAACTGTTAGCCTATCTAGGAGGCTGAAAACATTCTTTCTCCGTAAGATATTCAAGGGGCCGCCTGGGTGGCTCAATCTAGTTAAGCCTCTGACTCTTGATGTTGGCTCAGGTCAGGATCTCGGGGTCCCGCTGGGCATGGAGCCTGGTTAAGACTCTCGCGCTCTCTCTCTCTCCCTCTGCCTCTCTTCCACCGTCACTCTTCTTTTCTCTCTCTCAAAAAACAATAAAAACAAAACAGGTAAACTCTGAGAAGTTGCCTACCTGTCAGCTTCAGTGTGTTGGGGGTGGGGGCTCAGGAGGGGGCCATCCGCCCCACCAAACCCCCCCCCCCCCCCAGCTAACTCTTCCCTGCATTTCAGGCTCCTTCCACTGGCCTGAGGGAAATGCTGGACCAGACTTCAGCTCTCATAGCTTTAGCTCCCCCTCCCAAGTCACCCCCACCCCGTGTCCCCACTACTGTCTTCTAAGTCACAGGGGATAGTGGGCCAGACGGAGGGACTGTGGTCCAGACAGCAGAGTCCATGGTCAAAGTGGGTACCTCCCCTCCACTTCCTAGCCACGAGACTATTCAGCCAACCCAAGCGTATGGGCCCCAGCTCTTTTTGAGATCCTGACGATTATCCGGTTTCCTTATTCAGTTTTATCTCAAAAGGGCATCCCCCTTTCCCCAACATCTGCCTGCAGAGAAGGAAGTTGGTAGGTAATAGTAGAGATCACACGTAAAACACATTAAGTCTCTTGGCCTTTGGTTTTCACAGCTGACTCACAGCTCAGGGGAGCAGACTGAGCTCCTGGATCCTTTGGAAAAGGTTATGGGAGCAAAGAAGGGATGAGAGTCCTCGACAAAATACTAGGGGTTGGCACACGCAGCGCAGGACCCGCCCCCCCACTACAGGCCTGCCCTGCGGGGAGGCAGTTCAAGATGCTTAAGGCACTGTGGTTCTGTGGGCACCAGGATGGGCCAGGAGGAGAAGATCTGGAGCTGCCAAGCTCTAGCTCTCTGGGCCTGACAGCCCCTTTTTGCAGTTCAGTCCTCTCCCAGCCCTTCCTTGGTCAGAGAGACTTTGGTATCCACTGCCTCTGTGACAAGGTCCCGGGGCTTGGAGGTGGAGGCCGAGGAGCAGAAGCGAGGCAGAGTGATGAGGATGGCACTCCCTGCAAGAAGGAAGGCCCCGGCCACTACAAAAGAAACTGTGTAGTTTCCTGTCACATCCCGGAGGTAGCCTAGGTCCAAGAGAGAAGAAGAACACATGTGGGTGACCCAGTTCCTGAGCACGATGAAGGGAAGAACGTAATCCTTAGCGCATCATCTCGGAAGAGTTCGAACTCACTGGGCAGGACTGGATGAGCTCGAGAATTCTGGCATCCCCAAGGTTTCTACAGGTTAATTTCCGGAGGGTAATTTCAACCGTGGCCCTCCGTCTACACTTTCAGTTAATAGTGAAGAGCCTTGGCCTCCTCTCTTAAGAGGAGAAAGTTACGGGTCTGAAGGTTTTGGCATCTGGGCCGTGGAGAACTTTGACCCGACAGCTCAGACACCTGGGCTGGGGCCCAGTAGGCCAAGGCAAAGGCCAGACACCTGCAGGCTACATCTGGCCAAGTCCAGCCAGGTCCTCTGCACACCCAACCTGTAGATACCCTGCTAAGGGGCCCTCATAACTCCTCGGAGTCTTTCCACAGCCCCCATTTCCTTGCCCCATGGACCCACTTCGGGGCCGCTATGTTTGGCCAGGCAGGCTGTGTTCTGTGCCATTCCAGAGGGCAATATTCACGTACACTATAACGGAATTATTCGTCCCCTCCCCAAATTGCATGACATGGCAGCCGTGACCGCCCCCCCCCCACCCAGGAAACCCAATCGCCCTTACCTGACAGAGGAGCCCCCAGCAGCCCCCCGATGCTCTCGACCATCTGTACTAGGCCCAGGCCACAGTATATCCTTCCAGTCCCCACCAGTTCAGGCAACACGGAGAAGGCCACCGGGGTCAGGGCCCCTGAAGTGAAGCCATAGGCCACGGCCAGAGCCATCAGGACCGTGGGAGCGCGAGCCACGGGGAACAGGGCCAGTGACACCCCAGTCAGGGTAGTCCAGAGCATCAGGAGTCGTGCCACAGGTCCTGGGACGGCATCTCCTAGCCACCCAGAAGCCACACGTCCCACGAGGTCAGAAATGGCCGCGACCGAGAGTAGGAAGGCAGCAGACAGTGGGTCCCAATCCAGGTCCTGGAGGTGCGCCATCAGGTGCACGTAGGGAATGAAGTAGCCAGTGTTGATCAGCGTGAGGGCAGCAGCGTAACGGAGGAAGGGGCCGTGATGTAGGAGGGAGGTGAGCTGGGTCCCAGGGCCGCCCGTGACGGGGTCCTCCCTCAGGGACAGTGGGCGGAGGAGAGCGCCGCAGGCTACCAGGTGGAGGGAGAGGGCAGACACCAGCAGCAGGGCCCCCCGCCAGGCATAGCGGCTGACCAGCCACTGGAAAAGTGGGGCAAAGGCAAAGGAAGAGAGGCCCACGCCGGTCAGTGCCAGCCCTGTGGCCAGGGATCGCCGTCGAGAGAAGTAACGGGACAGGCAAGCCATGGTCGGAGTGAAGGTCAAGGCCCAGCCAGAGCCTGTCAGAAAGGAAGAAATAGGGGTTGGGGGCCTCTTAGGGCACCCAGGGCACCCGGTAATCCCACCACGGCCCAGCCATAGAACACAGCACAGGCCTGGTTTCGAGCTGTACGACCCTGTGTATTTTATTTCCTCTCCCAGCCTCGGTCTCCTCATCTGCAAGACGGGGGTAATAGACCTGATGGGACCGCAGAGACTTAGACATACTGTGTGCACAGTAACTAGATCCGAACTTTGGAAGTTAGGCCCGGGCTGTGCCACTTCTGGCCCTGCGATCTCTGTCTGCCGAGTTACACAAGCTCCGAGAGCCCGTCTTCGTCTGTCTGTAAACCGGATGGTGGTATCTATTTAGAAGCCGCGGTGCCTGGCACAACTTCATGGTGATTCTTGCTTCGACACTCCGGCCCCACCAGCCCTGGGCTTGCACGTTCTGGCCTCGACATCTTTGAATTTCTCAATATCCCTGCACCACGTTGATCACTTTAGTCATCGCTCTTAAGACTTCCTTCCCTCCTGGGCACAGGTGCTAGCCAAAACTTTCCGTCGGCTCCTCCTTAAGCCTCTCGGAAGGGGCAGGAAGAAGGTGAAAGTCTCCTGCCCTTGTCCAGGGCCTCACCTGAGAGCAGCCCAATACTGAGGTACAGGTGGGTCAAGGAGGTAGCAAGGGAGGCGAGCAGCATCCCCGACGCAGCCAAGATGCCCCCGGCCATCACCACGGGCCTGGGCCCGTACTTCGTGCTCAGGGCGCTGCCCACGGGACCTGAGAAAGAGGAAGGCAGTCGTGCGAGAGATTCTCCGGCGCCCTTGGCCAGTATCCTCCCAATCCCCGCCCTTTCCTCCCCAGCGTCCCCGCATCCCCCTTCCCTTCCGAGGGAGGGTGGCGGGCCGCCGGACCCAGGCGCGGCACTCACTCCCGAACTGCTGCACCGCGATCCCTATGGAGGCGATCCAGGAGACCCGCGCCGCCTGCTCTTCAAACGCCGCCACCAGTTCCACGAAGAAGACGCCGAAGGAGCGGAGCACCCCGAACACCAGCGCCGACTGGAAGAACGCGGAGAGCACCACCATCCACCCCCAGCCCCCGTCGGGGGGCTCGGCCCGGGGCGCCATCCGCCGGCCACTCCGCGCAGCCCGGGCGGGAGCAGGGCGCGGGACCCTCCGCCTC